AGTAAAGTGTGCCTTTTAGAAGGTTTTGCGCAGCTCTTTAGTATGTATGTACGTACAATAGGTATCGTACGTTCCTTCCTTGCATACACATGTACAGTAGTTATCATGCATTCCTCTACCTACGATTCTTGTATTACATTTTATGTATAGCTGACATGGTGGCAGCGGTTTAAAGAATCGACACGCGGTACGCAACAGAAATCAAATAAAGTAAAGAACATAGATTTTAAACGGTCGAGATAGCGCGAGATCCTTTATACAATCTAATAATGCCGACAGATGGAGGATCCGGGGTCACGGTTGGGACCAGCACCAGCAGCGTTACTGTGCGCTCCCCTGATGCATTTTCTTTCAGCAATCCTGGCGAGTGACCTAAGTGGCTTCGTCGATTTGAAAGGTTCCGCATAGCTTCGAAATTGAACAATGCATCGGAAGAGGAACAAATTAACACATTGGTCTATCTGATGGGAGATCAGGCCGATAATATTTTTTTATCCTTCACGTTGTCCGCGGCGGAAAAGAAAGTATACTCCAAGGTATTAGAGGCTTTTACCAAGCACTGTGTACTTAAAACCAACGTGATATATGAAAAAGCGAAGTTTAACCTTAGAAGCCAACTTGAGGGTGAGCTGATAGAGGACTTCATCACAGACTTGTATTTGTTATCCGAAAATCAATCACGGGGCTTTGAGAGACGAAATGATTCGCGACAAACTCGTCGTTGGCGTACGTGATCGTAAACTATCTGAAAAACTTCAGTTAGTCACCGATTTAACCTTGGAAAAGGCAATAGTGGATGTGAGACAACACCAAGCCGTTAAAAAGCAACAATTGGAATTAACGTCGTCGATAAATAAACTCACCACGGCCTCTCACATGACTGAAAATATTAAACAAAAAAAAAAACTAACGGCGAATATGTGAACCAGAAATCATATATTATTATTATTATTATTATTATTTATTAACAATATTAAATAAATTAACAAGTTAATATAAATTTTGAGCATTAGCTGCCAAGGCTATCAGTTCTACTTAACTGTAACAGAGTTCTACAAAAAGAAAAATGAAAATATATGAGAGAATTTTACAGAGACGGCTGTTATATAGGTACTTGGATGGCTTTGATAAAACTGATGATGGAATTTATGTTGTCCTTTGTAGGATTACTAAGTAGTTCGACCCAGTTGTGTTTGAAGTACCGGCGTCTAGTTCCTTCAAGAGCAGTGCACTCGAAGAATATGTGTTTTAAAGTTAAATCCA